GATTCTGATTTTTCCCTCTCCTTCGATTCCTCCTCGATTCGAAGATGCTTCTGGATTTTCTCCAAGGAAAAGTCATCAGAACTGTGCAACGGTTTCTTTTTATAGCCTTTCCACGAGCTTGGTAACTTAGCAATGATTGCACCAACTTGAAAGGTTTCAGGAATGTCTATTTTCACCGCTTTGATTTTGTTCACCAGGACTTGCAATTCGTGCACTTGAGGAAGTATGGGCTTGGAATCTATAAATTTAAAATCAAAGTATTTAGAAATTAAGAACTTCTTCGTACCTTCTTCTTCGGCTTTGAATTTAAACTCCAGTGAATTCCATATGTCTCTAGCGGACGGATTGTCTGTGTATAGGTCGTATAGGCGGTCAGACAGCGTGTTCAGAATATGTCCACGGCATAGTAATTCGTCCTCCCTTCGCAGCATGCGCTTCTTCTTGAGTTCGTCAGAATCATCTTCAGTTGGTTCTGGAATTGGTGTCAGATCGGGATCCAAGACGTAGTGAACCTTGAGTGCAGTAAGCAGGAAAGTCATCTTGTCTTGCCATCTGGTAAAGTTGTTTCCATCGAAGCGATCCAATTTGACAAGATCTTGATTCATAACCTTGATACTTGAAACAGCAGCGTCAGAATCCATGATACAAATACTTTTAAGATTGTTAGATAATCCTTCAATATCGAATGGATCCAGACTGAATCGTGAACGAAATCACTTTCCTTAAAAGTATTTCAAGCACACTCTTAAATTGTCTTAGAGTTGGAACGGCCTGAATACCCAGGATAAGTCAACCTTTTTCTCGAAACTGCACAAGACTGGTGAAGTTTCGAATGCAAGGAAAACGTTGGAATTATATGGAAGAGGATTTCAGATTTTTTGGAGTATTTGATTTCGAATTATCAAGCATATATTTATAGCCATGCATGTGTCTTTTCAGAAGTTTGCAATTCTTCATAAACACACTCTCTAATGAGCATTTGCAATGGTTCAAATAAAATGTCATGCACCACTTCGTGAAGTGTCATGTATTTCAAATTCAAATTCAAAAATCAAACTTTAGGCAACGAATAAATCTGAGCGACGATGCGTAAGTGCTCAAGTGCCGTCTACAAGCCGCCACTAGCGCCTCCACGCCCACGCCCTCGGATCCGATTCCGGAGCTGGTGTAGCCGGTGGCGACACCGGCGAGAGGTGTTTTGTATGAGACAAGTGACATAAGTTTTGGCACCACCACATATGACTATGTGGCACTTTATCCTCTTTGACTCCTTTGGAAATTACATTGTTCCAAGTGCCTTATAAATGCTATTTAATTTTCCTCCACTTCCAATGTGGGACTAAGCATTTATTGTCAATTAACTATAACACTCACTTTGTCATTTTTGGAACAACATTAATGGAAATAAATTATTATTTCCAACAGATATTATAAGTATTTCCTGTAAAAATGAATTGTGACTTTTTTCTTTTTAATAAATTAAACTTATTTTACAATAAAGATAGAATAGAGTAATTAAAGTCATAGTGGAGTACCATATTGTTCTAATTATGAGCTGTATACATTTACATTCACATCTTTTTTATAACAAGGTTTGCCAAGTATTGTACTACGTGATAATACGCATATAATTGTTTCTCTCCACATGGGTCATTATTGTTTCATCTGAATAAGTAATTGCTATAAAATTGCGAAACCAAAGCTAACTGCATGCGAGATTATTCTGAAGCCTTTCTTTATGTCCTTTATTGATATTATTTAACACACAAAAACCCATTTAGGGTCAAAATTTTGTCCTTCATTGCTGTCCCCATCTATGAGTCCTAAGTTTAGTATTGTTTGGTTTAGGGTAGAAATAGTGTTTTCCCTTGTATTGATGACACGGTATCTCTTAGCCAGAAAAATGTAAAAGTTAAAAATAGTTTATAATTATGTAACTATATTTTTCTAAGTAATTAAATATATTTATTATAAGATATTTATGTTAAAAATCATGAAAATTATAATATATTCAAAATATATTGTTGCTTATTTAATATTACTATAGATTGTGTTCTATTCTATGTAATGATAACAAAAAAATTGATACAAAGAAACAAGTATATTTATTCTAAGAAACTCAATAATTTTGGATTGAGCTATAGAATGTACAATGAGTCTTCTGGAAGTCATTTTATTATAGGACATTTCTTAATAATCCAATATATTATAAGAGCAACATGTAAATATATATATATATATATATATATATATATATATATATATATATATATATATATATATATATATATATATATATATATATATATATATATATATATATATATATATATATATATATATATATATATATATATATATATATATATATATATATATATATATATATATATATATATATATATATATATATATATATATATATATATATATATATATATATATATATATATATATATATATATATATATATATATATATATATATATATATATATATATATATATATATATATATATATATATATATATATATATATATATATATATATATATATATATATATATATATATATATATATATATATATATATATATATATATATATATATATATATATATATATATATATATATATATATATATATATATATATATATATATATATATATATATATATATATATATATATATATATATATATATATATATATGCATTTTCGAACACACTCTAAACACATATATTTTAAGTCATTTCTGAATCATGTCTTTGGAGCGTGGCTTTATTAGATCCACTACTAAAAAAAACATATAATAACGGTTAAGAAACACATATAATTTAGATGCGGAAATCAATCATGTATAAAATTAAAGTATCGATTGATTGATTTTATAAATACTTTGATCCATTAAAAATGCCTTTGATGGATCCATTAAAAATGCCTTTGACGGTAATCCTAAACCCAAAAGTTGTTGACTTTTGTGGTTCTTCCTCAACCGGTACTCCTTATGTCTCGAATTCTCTTCAGATGAGGAAAAAAGATAATTTGCTTGTTGTACATAGCCTATATATAGTGTCATGGTGAATTAGGGTTCCATTATTTCCAAATGGATCATTATGTCATCCACTTATATTTGAGTCCATACCCAATTATTTAATTAATTAATTAAATAATTCATAAATAAAATCTAAATAGTCTTTTTAACATTATTTGATCACTTATTTATTTAAAGGCACTTAATTGATAAAATAGTTAATATAATAAATAAATATATATGGCCACATAATTATTAGAATATTAATATATTACTATATTATTAAAATATTCCAACCGTGTGCAATTGTAATATGCTAGTTTTCACAACGGACGAATGATTATGGTTATAAGTTAGATAGAGTACTACTTATAACAATGAGTAAAGAAAACAACCGTTGTGAAATAATTTATAGGTTCTAGGTTCGAATGCAAGCAACATTATTCTTACGATTTAACATATAACAGTTATATGTTCCAACCGTAATGGTATGCGTAAGAGTTTATTATAAAATATGAGATTGTTTGTTTTTTGATGCCCCTCATTAACCATATACAACCATTCAAATAGATTTTAGAGATAATAATCAGGAAAAATTAAATTATTCTTGAAAAACAACTTAAATAGTCCAAAAATTTTTGAATTGCATGCATCTTACAATTCATGATTTCCTCATTAACCCATATAATTTAAGTCAATCACGAATTCTTCAAAATTTTGATGATGAATGGATGTCTTCTACGTCTTTCACACAAAATTTGATTTCCTTTTTTTTTTCCTAAGAGAGTTGCAAACATCAAATTTGTGTGAAAGACTCAAACCGACATTCATTTATCATCATTTTTGAAGAATTTGTGACATTAAATCAAATTCTACAAGTTAAAAAGGAAATCATGAATTAAAAGATGCATGCAATTCGATAAATATTGGATCGTCTAAGTTGATTTTGAATAATACTTTAATTTTTATAATTATTATCTTTAAAATCTATTTAAATGAATGCAAGTTCAATGAGGGGTTCGTGAAACAAACAATCACATATGATATAACAAACATACCAACAACATTTATCACTAAAAACATCAATTAATTAACATAGATTAGAAGAACTTGATAACTAACCGTTCATGAAAGCTATGAAGAGGATAAAGTAGGAGGGAGAGTAGAAAAATGTGTTCGCTATGAGAATATTATATGAAAGAATCATATAATATTTTCACAGTGAACACAAGTTCGCAACTCTGTTAGAATCATGTTCACACAACTAACTGTATTAGTGATAAGTAAAGAATCATAACCACTTGCTAGCAACACTTGAAAAACCATTTATTAACAAACAATACAAAACAATATCAACAACATTCAACAACATTTATCAACAACATATATACCTTTAATTGAAAAAATTCGTAGAAAATTAAGACAAACCATCACGTGAATCACACTCATAATATGCAAACTTGTAAAATGAAAGGATGATGAAACTGAAGAGAAAGTTGTAAACTTGTGTTACATTTGAGTAGATGTAATTCTAGTCTATCACACAAATTTGCATCTTTCACTTCAGTTTCATCCTCTCTTATATTTTATTTTCATAACAACACAAATCAATTGTAATCCTACAAACACCATAAAAAAAACATGTTAAACATAAATAAACTAATAGTACGTTGTAACCCAACCAAAAAAAATTATAAACATACATAACAATAACACTAACACTTAACATATAACAAATATACAAACAAAAAAAATATTCAATCAACATAACTTCTAGACAAACTAAATAAGTCAAATTTTAGAAAGTTAAAATATACATATTTTTAAAATGACATAGTTGAATGATAATTCAATTTTCAAATTTAATTGTGGCATTTAATATCCAACTAAGTTCTATTCACAGTCAAATAAACAATCATTCATCTCCTACAACTCTCTCTCTCTCTCTCTCTCTCTTTCTCTCCAATGTTTTTCAGAAAGCCATCACCAACTCAACCTCAAAAGCCTCCATCATGCGCAACAAAATCCCAAAGCCTCTCAAAAACAAAAGAACCCCACATCACCACAATTAACCTATCAATAAAATCCACCGTCTTTGCATCTTTCTTCATTGCATCATGCTTCCTCTTCCTTCACTTCCACCACCCAACCACCACCACCACCGTCAAAACCACTGCCACATGCAACGGATCACCTCCATTCTACATCTACAACCTACCTCCACGTTTCAACCTAAACCTCCTTAAAAACTGCGAAAATCTCAACATCTACATGAACATGTGCCCACATGTCATAAACAATGGACTAGGACAACCACTCTCAAAACCATCATGGTATGCTACACATCAATTCTTAGCTGAAATGATTTTTCATGCTAGATTAGAAAATCACGTGTGTCGCACGTGGGATCCAAATCAAGCTGTTCTATTCTACATACCCTTCTACGGTGGTCTCTACTCCTCCAGCGTTTTCCGCCAACAGAATCACACTCTCCGTGACTCGCTCGTTGTTGATTTAATCGATCATATTAAACAACAACAGTGGTTCAACCGTTACAATGGTAAGGACCATTTTATTTCCCTAGGGAGAACCGCATGGGATTTCATGCGCACAAAAACCGGTCATGATTTCGGAGCCAACATCCTTCTAAACCTGCCACCTGTCAAAAACATGTCGGTGCTAACAGTTGAACGACAACCTTGGAAAGGGAAAAACCAAAACGGCATACCATACCCGTCGTATTTTCATCCCAAGACAAAAAAGGAAATGCTGACGTGGCAGAATAAAGTTAGACTAAACGACCGACCGTTTTTGTTTTCTTTCATCGGTGGGAAAAGGAAAGGGTTAGGAAAAGCAAAGATTCGCGACGAGTTGGTTAAACAATGTAACGAGTCGACTCGGTGCGAGTTAGTTGAATGTGGGGTTGCGAATAGTAAATGTCATCAACCAATGGAAGTACTTGGAGTTATGATGAAGTCACGTTTTTGTCTTCAAGCACCCGGTGATTCTTTTACGAGGAGGTCAACGTTTGACTCGGTGGTTGCCGGTTGTATACCGGTGTTTTTCTCGCCGCATACAGCGTATACGCAATACGCGTGGTATTTTCCGGAGGAGAAAGATACGTATTCGGTTTATATTGAAGATGGGAGTGTAGGAAAGAAGAGGAATTTGATTGAGGAGGTGTTGATGGAAATTTCTGATGAAGAAGTTGAAAAGAAGCGTGAAGTAGTGATTGGTTTGATCCCGAGGATTAGTTATTCGCATCCGAATGTTAGTGGTGTTGGGTTTTTTGATGCAGTTGACGTGGCACTTCGAGGACTTGCTAAGGTTGTTCATGAGATTTGATTTTCTTTTTTTCTGTATTTTTTTTTTGAGCTTTAGTGTTTCGCTCGAAATTGTTTCACGGATATGTTGTTTCAGAGAAATATTTGCACGAAAATAAAATAAAATATATATTGTTAGGAACATCCCCATAAGAGATTATATTTTAAATTTATTTAAAATTTAATTTTTTAAAATTAGATTTACGAGGGTGATTGTGAAAGTGTAGAAGGGAGAAAATTTTATTTTTGTTTTTAATTAATAAAAAATTATGATTGATTATTTATATAACTACGTGTTCTGTTTGTTTTCATGCAAATATTTATCAAAATATAAAATAAAGTATATAAAATCATATGACACAACAAAACATAAAATGGAAAGAAAAAATGAAAAAGAACCCCGCACAAAGAAAACAATGATAAAAAATTAAAATAAAAAAATATTTATATGTGGTGGCGAATTATGCATTAGAATTAAAGACAAATTTATGGATGGTTAGCCTAGAAGAATTTGTGGGTGTGTAATTCGTGTAGTGTCTAACTATTATAGGAACGGTCATAATAAAGAAAGATTTTTTTTAGAGATGTCTGTCGCGGTGAGAATTGTATAACAAACTATTGATTAACTTGGATTACAAATTGTTATTCACCATCGATCTTTAATTTGTTCAACGGAAGGGAAAAATATCGAATTACCTAAAAGTATGCAATGCAATGCAAAGCTAGAGAGTCTAAGGTTCGGGGGGTTGGTTATACCTAGGGAAGGTACTAGCATCCTAAGCATCTGTAGTACTCTACAAGAACCTCTTGTTTTATTGTGTTATTGTTGTTTGTTAAGGGAAAGACTTAGGGGTTTATGTCTAAGTATGCTCGCCAAGAAGTCGTATCTTGTGCCTATGTATCCTGACGAGAATGGAATCAGAGCATTCGTAGTTCCCTTCAATAAGGGTGAGGAACTCTTGACTGTGGTCAAGGTTCCAGGGGAGAAGGTTTGTTGATTGATTCTAGGAGAAGAGACAAGTCGTCATCTTAGGGAGAATACTCAACTTAAACCACCACAAACATATAGAAGGCGATTTTTGCTTTACATTGAGAGAAGGGCTCTAACTCGGATCTATAATTGACGAGTATGCCACATACCTCTCTCAAGCGGAAAAGGTTCTACGTTTTTCTCGACTACGTTATGGGGTAGGAGAATTACATCTCAACTAGGGATGACTCACGTCTAGTTCTCTCATGGAAAAGGGGAACCTAATTGTAGGTTATCTAAGTTAACATCCTAAGAGAACTAACCTAATTTTATGAATCTAAAATAAGATTAAAGGGAAAGTCTAACCTAATATTATCATGCAATAGAGGTTAAAGCCTAAAACCTATATTGATTCAATTTATTGAAGATAAGGTTGACCAAATATTCTAATGGATCATGAGAAGAACAATTATCTATGCACGCCAAATCTTGAATTCCTATCTTAATCACGATTCACCAGGGAGTGTCACAACTTTAAACCAAGCAATCAAAGTGCTCGAGAAACTATCAAACAATCAATTACAATCCTCAAATAAAAATCCAAATATAAAGGCCCCATATATTAATTAAAAGTTAATCACCAATAAACTTCAAAAAAACGACGTCCTAATCTCCTATTAAAACTCCTAATCAGTAAGAATAAACTATTCAACAACGAACTAAAATTCTAATTACAACACATTATAATTTCAAAATTAGAATCTAATAAAAGACTAATTAAATATAGTAATAATTAAAAGTTGAGAAAAAAATAATATAGTGTAAGATAAGCAAATAAGAGTGTGTTAGAAAGAAAAGAAAAAGAAACATGGACCATGGGACTAAGCCCACACGAACCCACATCAACAACAACAACGTTGCATGTCAAAAAAAAAAGGAATGGACAAAAGACATTGTCCAGTACTCTCTCCCTCTCGCACGCGGGTTGTCTCATCGGACGAACCCCCAAATTAATCACCAAACAAAGACTTTCATAATGTTCACACAATACCAATCAAATTGGAGCGAATAACACAAGTTAAAGAGGAATTCGAGTAATTCGCAAAGAAGAAACAACAACTGAGCAACGCACGAAGGTGAAGGAAACTTATCTGTCATAGTTCGTCCGACGCGTCTTCGGCGGTAATGCGAATAAGATGAAACCTGGGCTCTATATAGGTATGAGTCAAATACCCTTCCTCTTTATGAAGCAATTTCTTTTGTGAGCGTGTGGTAGTTGTTGTTGTTGTCTTTACTTTTCTAATGTATGCACTCACCATTTGTAATGCGTGAAAAAATCATGCGTGAGAGTGATTCTCTTGTCCTCTTTATTTTTTCTAATGCATATATATAGGACCAGAAAATAGACAAGAATAATAATAACAATTAACACAATTTTTTTTTATGATAAGACAATGATTAAAAGAATTAAAAATCATATTTTTCTGTTTTTTTATAAGACAAGAATAAAAAGAAATTAAAAATCATATTTTTGTGTTTTTTATTATAAGACAAGAATTAAAAATTATGTTTTTGTGATTTTTATTATAAGAAAAGAATAAAAAGAATTAAAAATTATGTTTTTGTGTTTTTTATAATAAGACAAGGATAAAAAGAATTAAAGATCATGTTTTTGTGTTTTTTATAAAAAATAAAATATTAATAAACAAATTAAAAATAAAATTAATTAATAAAAATAAAAATTTAAATTTAAAATCTAATTAAATCTAAATAAATTAAATGATTATTTAACTAAAATTAAATAGAAATGATTAAAAAATAAAAAGTTGGGCAGAAAAGTGCTCAAAAATATAAAACGAACACACCAAAATAATCCGCGTGAAATAAACATATTGGAAAAATACAGCGTTTGGTCAGATTTTAAAATAAATTTAGACCGATTTTTCTGTAAATCCAACAAATTTATTCTGACTGACATTTCGGACACTATGCAAGATGAAGTGCATGTTATGCTATGCAGATGATGCAAAAGAAAAAATAGAATCTTAGGGTCAAAAATTAGGATATGACAATGTCCATTTTGTCAGGGTGATGATACATATGATTTATTTTTATGAGATGAAGATTTGGAACAAGAAGAAGACGTTAAAGTTGTAAATTATTAACAATTAATAATATTTAATGTATTTTAAAATGACAACAAATTATGCCAGTGAAGGTTACTTTTTTAATTCAAAGATGCGCAACACTTTGTGAAGTATTGCAGTAGCTAGTTTGTATTTTGAATTCGAAAATAGGCTTCGTGAAGTTATGTAGAATGAAAAATAGTACAACTTTTGAAAACTATAGTTTTAGGCAAAACGATGCAACATTTGGTAAAAGTACTGTTGTAGGCGTACAGTGCAACATTTGATAAAAGTGCTGTTGTAAGTGAAACAATACAATATTTGGTAAAATTATTATTGTAGGCGAAACAGTGCAACATTTGATAAAAATGTTGTTGAAAGTGTGTTACATCAAGGGTCACAACCTCGTGAAACAATACTAATTTGACCTATAAATTGAACAACACTGCTATAAGATTCCCATTATTCTTCAAGTGGGAGATAATCCTAAGACTTATAAGGAAGCAATAGCTTCAAGAGATTCCTCTTGTTTAGAAGGAAGTATCACAGTGTGATGGTACACTAAAAACCTACAAGTATAGATTAATGACCAAGGATTTAAAAAAAAAGAATGTGTTTATCATTTTGCACATATGTAGTAGTAGCAAGCACAACGAATTATAGTATCGTTTGCATTATCTTCTTTGCATGACCTTATAGTTCCTCAAAGGGATGTCAAAATAACATTCCTAAATCAAGATCTCAATTATGAGATTTATATGGGGCATCTAGAAGGTTGTGTGGTAATGAACAAAAGTTGTGCATGTTTGACAAATCCTTGTATGTATTAAAACAAGCACCAAATCAATGACATTAAAAGTTGACTCTGTCATTGTAAGATTCACCAATTAAGGGGAGACACAAAACTTAAGGGGAGGGTTTTTAATCATTATCAAAACATAAAGTCAAAGAGTTTATCATCATCTAAAGGGAGAGATTATGAAAGATGTATCATATATCGAGTTTAGTTTTGAACGAAGAAAAAGATTATCAAAGAATTAAAGAATCAAAAGTGTCATGTGCATTAATGATGAAGTTTATCAAGAAGGTTGAACATAGAAATTCAAGTGAAGATTTGAGATAAGTCAACATGACTAAGGTGCTCGTTGCAATTTATATTATACTACTTTAAATTTATCATAATTTCATATTTCACTTTATCTAAAAACCTTCTTGCGTCATCATGCATGATTATCTAAAATATTTTTTCATTTAATTCTTTTGACTAATGTTTCTACAAAAGTTTGTGTGAGAACATTATTCATTTGTCTCTATGTTGATTACATATTGATCATTAGCAATGAGATGAATGAAATATTAGAAACAAATAGGTTTCTAACTTTCACATTCAAGATTAATGATCTTAGACTAGTCGACACACTTTTAGGGGTCAAAGTAAGCGAAATAGTGGGGGTTATGAACTTGGTCAAACACAATAGGTTGAGAAAGTACTTGATAAGTTCAAACACTTACATTTCAAGGAAATTACTACTCCATTTGATCCCAGTGTTAAACTTCATAAGAATGATGGAAGAGTTGTGGTTTAGTTGGAATATGTAAGTACATGCAATGTACTAGATCCGACATATCTTTTGCAATAAGTAAAATGAGTAGATTTTACTAGAAATAAAAATGGTGAGAACTGGAAAGCCATCATTAGAATTTTTGGCTATCTTATGAAAACCAAAAATCTTGATATCCATTATGGTAGATTTCTTGTCATATTAAAAGGATATACCGATGTGAGTTGGATATCGAGTATTGAATACTGTTGTACCCCAAAATTTTCCTTAGATTCATTGATCATCTAAATATCATTTTGATTCAATCATTCCCGCATGGCTAACCATTTCAACTAGTTTTATTTGTTTTGTAGGTTGCTGAAGG